TTTGTTTTCCTTTAGCACAAGCATCACAGATTTTATCATTATCAAATTTTAGTTTAGGCAGCCCTCGAACCAATTCTCCTTGAACTAACCGTTGCAAAACACTCATGCTAGCATGTCCTAGTCTCATATGCCATAACCAACTATCATGCTCATCCTTTGCAACTAGGCATAAATTAGTCATTTCTATAGAGTCTAAATGCACCATGTATATATTTCCTATTCTATGACCAACAAGCATAATCATATTAGATGCAATGCCAATGACTTTACAACCATTAGTTTCAAATATGACATTGAATCCCTTATCACATAATTGACTAATACTCAAGAGATTATGCTTTAATCCATTCACATATAAAACATTCTTAATTTGTATGGAAGAGGTATTACCAATAGTACCAATACCTTCAATGTGACCTTTTGAATCATCACCAAAAGTCACTTCTCCTCCATTTTTGGCATTAAGCTCAATGATCCAGCTTTTGTCTCCGGTCATGTGTCTTGAGCATCCACTATCAAGGTATCATGGATTTGGATTTGTTTCTCGTGCCTTGTAGCAATTCTCCTTTTCCTACAAACATAGATTAATTTCTATTTTTTGGTACCCAAATTCTTTTGGGTCTATATCCATTAGTTTCCAAAATCCTAGTCCCCTTAGGTATCCATTTGTGTAGGATATCCTTATCTTTAGTAGTAATGAGCTCTTTAGGAACCCATATACTTCTAACGATGTTTCCATTAGAGGTTCTTTGGGGACCTCTATGATTTTAGTTTTTAAAACTTTTTCTAACAAAGTTGGATTTTGAATTTTCTCCATTTTCAAAACGTTTTGTTCCAACTTTATAAAAAGAAGTTTTAAGATCATCAATTTTCTTTTGATGATCATCATTGACCTTTGAAAGTAAATTTTGCAAATCCAAAATTTTCTTTTCAAACTCTTCTAGTTTGATTTGCAAATCTTTGATTTTACTTTCAAGATCGTTGTTGGTTTTGGATATGAGTTTATTTTCATTTTTTAATTTTGAAACATCATTTTTATATTTTAAAAACAATTTCTCATAATCCGAAGCCAACCCATTATATTCCTCTAATAGCTCATCATAGGATATATCATCAAAATCAGATGAGTTAGAGGTTACCTTAGAATCTTCCCCGAATGCCATCAAGCACAAGTTTGCTACTTTTTGTTCTTCTTCATTGGAACCTTCTTCATCGCTCCATGTAGCCACATGAGCCTTGTGCTTATTCTTTGATTGACCCTTTCTCTTCAATTGTGGGCAATCATATTTGACATACCCCGGCTTTTTGCATTCATATCAAATGATCGGGTCCTTCTCTTTTGGTTCATTTTTGAGGCCTTCATTTCGTTTGAATTTTCTCCCTCGGTAAGGTCTCATCATTTTTCTGAACCGTTTGGCAAACAATGCCATTTCCTCATCATCGTCATCTTCATCCTAATCACTCTCATCTTTTTTGGATTTGAGAGCAACTCCAATGTTTTTATTCTTCTCATTCTCCTTTGGTGTCTCTTCAATCTTATCAAGGTCTACCTCATCTTCAAGCATCATTTCATGAGTGAGGAGTGAAGCTCTTCAAGGGTTAAGGACGTTAGGTCCTTAGACCCGATGATTGCCGCCTTCTTTGATTGCCACGATTTTGGAAGGGACTAGACTAACTTCCTCACAAGCTTTTCATTTGAAATGATCTCTCCATATGATTTGAGACCATTGACAATCGTTGAAAATCTATCTGTCATAGCTTTGATTTCTTCATTTGGTCTCATCCTAAAATTTTCATAGATATGCGTTATAATACTAATTTTAGATTTATTTACCTCATCGATACCTTCATGAGTGACTTGAAGTTTGTCCCATATTTCTTTGGTGGTTGTACAAGATGAAACTCTTTCGTATTCATCTGGTCCAACAGCACAAAATATGATATGGATGGCTTTGGAGTTGAGCTGGAACATTTTTGTCTCTCCTTTACTCCACAATCTTGGATGAGTGAGAGGCTTGATGTATCCTTCTTCTACGACATTCCATGCTCCCATGTCACTTGCTTGAATGAAGTACATCATCCTATTTTTTCAATAGGCATAGTTAGCCCCATTGAAGAAAGGAGGCTTGTTGACGGGCATCGAATCGAGACCGGAGTCGAAGTTTAAAGTAGAGGCCATTGATGACTTTGATTATCGATATAACTCTTCCCAAATCGACTCAAGAGGCGATTAAACCTTCAAATGAGTTAGGCTCTGATACCAATTGTTGAGTTAATCAATTGACGGATATGGCCAAGAGGGGGTGAATTGGCAATTAAAATTTTGATGGAAGCTTTTGCAGAAAATTGAAAGAAATTTGCACAACGATTTAGAGTGGTTTGACTTTCTCAACCAAAGTCTATGTCCAATACCTTAGCTATCCACACTAAGGATTTTCCATAAATTCACTAATTTGTCTTTCTTTTGAGGACAAAGAGTAACCTTACAAACCCTCAAGAATTATACCCCAAATTCTTGAGAACACTCTCTCCCAAAGAGAACAATACAAATTTACAAACTTACAAGGAAATCCTCACAAGGTAGATTGTTTGCATAATTCTAGAACAAAGAAAAGAACACTCAAGAATGAATACAATTGAGCACAATAAGTGTTCTTGAAAGCAAAATGAATATTGAATGAAAAATAGGCTTGAAATGCTCAAACTTGAGGTTTGATGCTTTCTCTTTGATTCTCTCTTGATTCTAGTTACTTGATGTTTCTTGTTATTGATCAATGGCTTCTAAGCTTGCTTAAATACACCTTGAATCACTTCTGAACGTTGGAGATCATTAATGAAGTTTTTGGAGTCGTTTAAGTGTGAAAACAATTAATATTTCTGCTTGGAGCATGGGGGAATCGGTTCCCTAGGTGTAAAATTCAAATATTTCGACCGTTGAACAGTGGGGGGAATCGGTACCCCTGGGGGAATCGGTTCCCTCCGAGCATACTGGAATTCTCGGAGCCAAACCATTTAGGGGGGAATCGGTACCCCCTTGGGAGGGAATCGGTTCCCTCTGAGGAATCTGGAATTTTTTGGCATTGAAATGGTTCGAAATATTTTGTAAAATCGTTTTGAAATTATTTTAAGATTAAAACTTAATTTTACACTTGAGTAAGGATTTAAAATGAACTTTGAAATACTTTGAGTAATATTTTGATATTCGATTTAATATATCGAATATGCTTAGAAAAAATCTTTTTCAAAATTAAAATTCTTTTAATTTAATTTGTTATATCGAAACATCAAAATGTTTTCAACAAAGTCTAATGCATACAAAGTCTAATGCATACTTTTTATGGACATTTTCATCTTTTTATTTTTTTTTATAAATAGTATTGAAACATAAAAATATATCATTTGAAATTTGAACACGTGTTTAAAAAAATTATAATTAAATATTTTATCATTTCACCAATAATCATTTGATAATTTAATTTCTTTCAAATATAAATTCTTTTTGCAAATATTTGTTCTTTAGTAATAACGTTTATTTCTGGATTATCTAATTGAGGTTGATATTCGAGTTGGAAAAGCAAGCAAAAATTATAAATAAATAAATAAAAATTGTAAATGTATAAGACTATCATAGTGATTTAATTTTTACCAAAAAATATTTTTTCTCACTTTTTTAATAAATTTTATTAATTTATTTTTTTACTCATAAATTTAGTATGTCAAAATTTTATTTTTTTTAAGTGCATGATTTAGTTTGATGTTTTTAGCTCAGTTGAAAAAAGTATATAAAATACTAACAATTACTTGATCTAGTGAGACAAAATATTAATCTCTTAAACAATTTTAAGGGTTCGAATTCTAATGTTTTCGAATGAAACAAATTGGTTTAGAAGAGTTGTCATTGCCTCTATAATATCCTATATATATTAGTCAATTGATAAATTAGATCCCGATAATTATATTGAAAAAAATATTATAAAATTAAAAAAAAATTATAGATTCACAAAGTTGTAATAGTAATTCAATTTTATTGGTACATTAATAATTTTTAATTAATAATTTTTTAGTAACTGTTATCGGGTAAAGGCGTGTAAGGAGGCTTGTTTTGTGGTGGAATTGCAATGGTGTTATTCATGGTAAATAACAATATTTTTTTATTAAGTTAGAGAGATTACAAATGATGATCATGTATTCAAATCACGGTTCCGGTCTCATTTTCGATCGTGTCGTATTTATTGCGATTGCGGTCATAGCGAGAGCTATTGTGGTGATTGCAGATATCACAGTCATACAATAACGATCGCGGATGGCACCATTACTGCTATGACTGTTTAAATACCTGGTGATGTCATCTATTTAAATCCCTGGTGATGGTATCTATTTTAAAGACTACTAATCATTTGACAATAAACGTTTAAATATCTCATAGTCGTTAGTGCTCAAACCCATAACCTCTAAGAATAACCACTAAAGTCATTTGATTCGTAAAATAACAATATTTTCAAATCCAAAAGAATTTATATTATATGTAAAGTCTACAATTACTATATGTTCTACCTACAATGATGATTTATGATTAAAATTTTATTTCATTTTCTCTGGTTATCTGCAGACAGCCTGTTGAATCTAAACTACTATCTTGTCTCAATCTTCATAGTGTTCTGCATTGTCAACAGTCAGAAACGGTATTCGTCTCCGTTGGACGAATATGTAAACATTAGTACGCAACACATACTCGCATGTATCATTCATCCGAATCCGAGTAACACAAATTTTAATTTAACGTAACACATACTTGTATATTTGTATTAAACACATACTCGCATGTAACAGTAAATCCAAATCCGGGTAACACAAATTTTAATCTAATGTAACGCATATTTGTATATTTGCATTAAACACATACTCACATGTAATGCTCATTTGAATCTAAGTATCATAACTTTTAATTTAACGTAACACATACTTGTATATTTGCATTAAACACATACTCGCATCTAACACTAAATTCAAATCTGGGTAACATAATTTTTAATCTAATGTAACTCATATTTGTATAATTGCATTAAACACATACTCGCATGTAACGCTCACTCAAATCCAAACATAATTTTTAATTTAATGTAACACACACTTCTATATTTGCAATAAACACATACTCGCATCTAACATTCAATCCAATCCAAATCCGAGTAACATAATTTTTAATCTAATGTAACACATTTGTGTATCTGCATTAAAAACGTACCGGAATGTAACGCTCATCCGAATCCGAGTAACATAATTTTTAATCGTGGGTTTTCGGCATCTTGTCGCTTCCACAAACAACAAATTTAAGCTTGTCATACCTGTGATCATGAAGGTTAGATGAATCATCTTGGATTAAAAGAAGGGGGAAAAACTCTAGTCCCCGGGAAAAGAGAGCAAATTGTAAAATAAGCGAAGTAGACACTTGCCATTCTGCATAATCGCCTGGTGCTATTGGTACTATTGCAGCAGATTGAGAACCAACTCTTTCGAATTCCTTTGGTTTATGTTTGATTGGCCTATCCTTGGATTTTTCACCTGTTTTCCATTACTTCTCCATTAGCTTCTCAGAAAATGAAAGTCTGTAAATAAAAAGTATATATAAAGTGTGGGAAAGTTACCTGAGCTTTTAGTTTTTTTAAGTGAGAATTGGGTGGTTATTACATTTGTATGAAACAAACCATTTCTTCCGTTGTCTTTCTTGAGCTTCTTTGTTTTGGCTTCTTCCACTGATTGAACAGCGAATGCGGCGGCTGCCACCGCTGCTTCGTGTGCGCCTTGTTTCGGCCGACCATCTTCACTGTGCCGGCCGGAAAACTGCTTCTGGAACCAGTTTTGTTTTCTGAAGAAAATTAGTACAACACAAATGTTAATACGGATAATATAAACAATGACTAATTTCTGTAAACAATCTTTAGAACGGATGAGTAAAAGCTTTCCGTTGGCACTTGAATAAGATTTACAAATTATAGAAAGAAAACAATTGTCAGATGCACACGTACCTGCTTTGCTTGATTAGATTTTCCATTGTCAGACAAACTCTATGCTGAGAACTCCTCTTGTGTGTGCTTTATTTTTTTCTCTCTTTTTTTAAGAAGTATGCGATATGAAAAGAAACCCGCTAAGAACAGGTATTTATAGCGTCTTACAGGGAAAAGGGGAAGTGAATTAAGTCAAATTCACATGCGGATTTCATGAATGCTAAGTTGACTTTCTTGCTTGCTTGCATTATGCACATCTTTTATATGAAATCTTCCTTAAAAAGAAATTAAAATATTTATAATATCGACTAACAATCAGTTGATCTAGTAGAATAAGACACTAAGTTCTTTAAGCAATTGTTAACAGTTTAAATCTTGGCGCTTGTGTATGAAGTAAATTGGGTAGAGTCGTCCCCATAATAGGCCTTTTCTAAATTCAAACAGAAATAATCGACCAATAAATCAGATACTAATAGTTAAAAAAAATATTAATAATGTCGGACTTATATTTATATCTATCACTAACTCATGTGATTGGAGCTTGAATTAAACAAATATAAAGAAAGAAAACGGAAAGAAGGGACCAAATTCATATTCTCTTTCTTTAGCAGCTGTAAATATTCCTTTAGCCTCCATTACCGTTCAATAAAAAGGCATGTAAAACGACAATGAATGGAATCTAGGGGCATACTTGAAAAATAAAATCAAATCCCACATCGTTACTTCTCGTTAAACATGGTTGAAAATCAGTGAACGGATACCATCATCTCACAGAAGTGCTTTTTCTTATTTAAATGCTATATAGTTTGAAACGACTGCTGCGTGTTGTTGTTTTTTAGAAAATAATCTAACCAATTATGGTGAATTTTAGGATTTAGGTAGAATCATATAATGACAAATTTTATGAAAGCGAAGAATCTCCCGTGAGAAAAAAGCTTCTACTTTCCAGCTGTTTAAATTCCATGTTCAAATACTTATTGTTTTTAGGGTAAAGTATACAAACGGTCCCTATAAGATATTGTTTTGTTGAGTCCCCAATTATTAAAAGTTAGAAAAGGTCTTCCAACTTTAGGACATTGCTTTGTTGAGTCCAAGACTACTAACAATTATAAAAGAGTTACTCAACTTTTCATATGCTCCAAACACGTCCTTTTCTATTAAAAAATTAATGACAATATGAGATGGACGTTAATCTATTCAATGTGATATGATAACATATGATCATAAAATCTCAAACAACTATCATATCTCAGTCAATAGGTTAAAGTTCAATTCAGAATGTCGTCAAATTTTTAAACAAAAATGATGAATTTAGAACATATAAATAGTTGGGGGACTATTTTGTAGCTTTTAATAGCAAGGGGACTCGAAAAAGCAATATCTAATAGTTAGGGGACCATTTGTATACTTTACCCTTTTTTATATTACTTTATGACTTTCACCCATCTTTATATCTACAATTGACAACAAACTCTATGAAAAAGAGAGTAAAATTTAAGTAGAGGCTCATACTCTATTTAGGTTAATTAAACAATCTAGGGTAAATGAGCTAAGTAGAGCTCAAGTATTATTGAGCTCGACTCGACTAAAAAAATTAATTTTGAGCTAGACTCGACTTGAAAACTCGTGAGCTTAAAATTATCAAATTCGACTCAAACTCGAAATCAAAAAGTCAAAGATCTAATTAAACTTGAAACATTTTTAGGCTTAGCTCGATTGAAGCTCAAACTCGAGTTCAGTTTAAGCTCGAATTTGAACCTTTAGTATAAGAAAGTCTTATATTGTATTTTAAAAAAACATATAAATGCTAATATTATTAATAATTTAATTTAAAAAATAAAAAATTAATATATTATTTTTTTGAGTTGCTCGCGAGCTTTTCAAGTCCGATATCAAGTAGCTTGCTTCAATCCGTTAAGAATTCGAGTCAAGTTTGAGTTCAAGTCGAGTCCATTCGATTCAAGTGTTGATTGAGAAATGATCAAGTCGAACTCGAGTAGCTTGTGATACGTCTCGTCTCATTTATAGCCCTAGGATAAACTGCACCAATAAACACCAAATTATTATCGTTTTTATAATTTAGTTAGGGGTGTAAATGAACAGAGTGTTTGATAAACTATTTGTGAATCGCACGTATAAGGTTCATTTATGTTTATTTATTAAGCTAAATAAACAAGCATGAATAAAACATTTATGTTCTTTTAATAAATGATTGAACATGAACAAAGGTGTGTTTGATTTATTTATGTTCACAAACAAGCTCGTTTATATGTTCATGAAAAAGCTCGTTTATAACCTCATTTATAACCTTGTTTATATGTTCATAAACAAGCTTGTTTAGAAGTCGTTTAATTTTCTTATATTTTAAATATAAGTGAAGGTACATACTAAATTGAATACATGGTAAAATTTAGAGTTTAAACTATTAATCCTAATAATTATAAGCACCAATAGTGTAAGTTTACCATTTCCCCTAAATTGTAACTCAAAAATTCTTTTTCCTTATCCTCTCTTTTCCTTTCCAACTATTCATTTCTTACAAGTTTCCTTTCCCCCTTTTCTTAATGAGATTTATCCCCTAAATTACCATATATGCTAAGATTTATCAAATCCTAAGCTTTCGTTCATGTCTGTACAAGATTTCTAATAACCCCGTAAAAAGGTTGTATTTTTTGTGCCTTTTTAATTAGTTTATTGTTTGTTATAAATCCCATGTCATAGCATTTAGATTGCAGTTAGGTCATATTGTTGCATTTGGTGGTAAAGTCTTGTTGCATCATAAATTTATTGAAAATTGATGCTGCTGAGGAAAAGGTCTTGATTTTTGTGTTGTTGTGCAAGTAATGAAAGCTTAAAGAGAAACTGTGGCCGCTGTAGCATGCTGAAGAAATTAATGTTGTAGCATTCTGTAGATAGAACGCTAAAAGACTTGCCGCAATGAAAGATGGCTAACAAACCTGGAGCAGAAAAGACAAAATAACAAAAATATCTTCGCTTATCTGTCTGGGCACACGTAACTCACCACCCTTGCTGTATATTTTGGGACTAACTACCACAATAACCGCCCCCTTCACGTGAGAATGATACCATCTAGGGTACAAAGGAAATTTGGGCCCAAAACCTTAGAAATATTCCCTCTATAAATACTTAAGGTGTCATACATTTTAGAAAGACTTTTGGAAAAACCTTGGGATGTGACCTAGAGAAAGGCGGTTGCTCACTTTCATCTTCTTCTTCCTTTTCATCCTTTTTTCATGGTGTTCTCCATAGCCAAGCTTTATGGGAGGTAGCAGCTAGACCTCGATAGAGGCTAGTTTGCTAAGGCGGTGCATGGTGGTGGAGCTATGTCATGGCAACATATTTGGTGTTGGATTTGTGTTAGAGGATTTTATTTTGTGTTAATGGATAAATAAATGTTTTTATATTTTGAATGTTGGTTTGCTCACTATTTTTACCTTTATGCGTTGTAGCATTGTAAGAGCTTTTGAGAGATTATCGTTTGTTGTAGCGTAATATGCTTAGTCTTGAAGAGCTTTTGAGAGATTTACATTTTCTAAGTATATATACCTAGCAACGAGAGAGCTAGGTTAGATCTATGTGAGCAAGGGAGCCAAACCGGGATGGGAAAGTTCTAACCTGCCTTAAAGATAAGGAGAGGGTTCAATTCAACTAAAAGGGATATGACTTAGTTGATAGGCTAGTGTAGCATTTCACGCTGAGGGGTATTACCATAGCATTAGTTTTTCAAATTCCTTGCTTGAGAGAGTTTAGAAGCATTTTTTAGCAAATCCTATCGGGCATCATACTCATAGGAGCAGAGATCATCCATAGCATAGAATATTATCACCATAGCAATCCATTCCATTCACCTCTATAGAAGCTTGATTGTGTGAGGTTGTCAAGTCTAATATCATTTTCCAATGTTGAATTTATTTTATTGCTTTAGCATACACTTGCACTTTACTTAGATTCTTGCCTCAACACACTTTTACATTTCCAACAATTTCCACCACAACATCTTCACTCCACTTCACTCCATTATGGCCACAACATTACATCACCATTTATGCATACCATCTACCACAGTGTTACTTTCATTTGTTTATACCATCGTACATATATACTTAGGTTTATTTTGTGATAGATTTTGTTTGCTATAGCTGGCTTTTAAAATACCTCCAATCTCTTTGGAGATGATACTCGCTCACTATTGTATTACTTGCACCAGTTGTATATTCATGCACAGATTTACATGCCACAACACTATATATTTACATTCGATCAAGTTTTTGGCGCCTTTACCGGGGATTGACAGCTGATTATTTTTAAAGTTTTGCTATAGCTAGAGTTTTAGTTAGTTTTTTTTAGTTTACTTGTTAGTTTTCTTTGTTTTTTTTTCAGGTTTCACTTTTCATGACCACTTTATCCTCTAGTTTCAGAGATCGAGCATTTATTCTGTCGAAGACGACTTTCTTAATGCGTTAATCTAGTCATGAATAATCAACTGAACCAAGGTGTTCAGCGAGTTCAAGATCATGCAGATTTGAATGTTGCAATATTTAGGAATGAAGGACTTGTACCTCGATCGAGAGTTATTTGAGATCTCTTAGCTCCTGTTCTAGACGATCACAACCCAGGGATCGTAGCACCCGAGATCCATAGAGCCCATTTTGAGCTTAAAATGGTCATGTTCAACACGTTGATCTCGATCGATCAATTTGGTGCATGCCTCATGAAGAAGCTAGGCAACACATCTGTGTTTTCTTGGAAGTTTGCGACTCATTTAGGAAGCAAGGAGTGCACAATGATGTGTTAAATCTAAATTTTTTCCCCCATTCTTTACATTACTAAGCAAGAGCTTGGTTTAGTGGAGTTCTAACTGGATCGATGTATTGGGATCATTATAAAAGTTGCTTCAAAAATATACTAACCACAGATTCCACGACTGAACCCAAGTTGTGATATTTTATAATGGAGTCAATGCGCCCACACGTATGATGTTAGATGTTTCAGCAAATGGTACTTTGCTTGACAAATCACCCAAAGAGGCCTTTGACATACTGGACAAGATATCAAATAATTACTAGCAATTTCCCTCTTCAAGGTTTAGAACAAGAAGGAAGA